TTAGGTCTGCACTGCAAGGTGAAAACAGGCAACCGCTGTGAGTCTTTATATATGGCAGCTGGTCCATCGAATTCCATTCAATCAGCGATGCAAATTCAATTTTTAAAGTGCTCGACCTGAAGTGTCGTAAGGGACCTTTGATCTCACTTGATGATCCATTTCCAGATTAAGTTCATGAACATCATGAACATCACGACCGCCGAAAGCTCGCCAGGCAGTGAAGATGTGGCCTCTGACCAAAGCAAATCAATGAATGAATGGTCAGCAGCATTGGTCTGGGAAGAGTGACGCGGCGCTCTTCACACACGCGGTGCTCGAGCGTGTCACATCGAAGAGTCGTGTTCGAAGACTGTCATCAAAGGGAGTCGGTGAAAGCTGATCCTCTTCAAATTCTTTGAAGCTGATCCTTGATGTTTCAAGGCACTATGCTTCAATCCTCTTTTCGTTCGGAAAAAAAACAAAAACAGGTCGAAGCCTTTGGTCAACCATTTCTGACCCGGTGAGTTGTGTCAATAAGTCGACCGGAGGTCGTTGAGGTCGGTCGTTCCAGGCAGTCCTCTGTGGTTTCCATGTTGGGTGGGAAAATTCTGAATGTATGTCTTGCATGCAGTCATTTTTTTCTAGTTGATGCTTCAGAAAGCACCATCAAACATTATTTTCAAGGATATTCAAGGAGCTGTGGACCTTTTCAGTCCCAGATGGGGTTCTAACAGGGGCCTAGGTTGACTTTGATAAACAGATCTTCAGACGACGATTTCATCAGCTCTCTAAGGCCAATTCAGCTGTGAATTCGAGACGACCTGCTCAGAGAGGTCTGAGGCGATCATCGACCGAGGAATACTTTGATGATCTTTGATCTTTGATGAAGTTGGTTTCAACTGGCACATAAACGATAATCCATGTGGATCTGAAAAAAGGTGCATGAGACATGGCTGTCAAACTTGATCGACTCCTGGCAAAAAGGCAAGATGTGAACTGATCCTTTCAGATCCTTTCAGTAGTTGCTCGTGTTCAGCAGATCGTCTAATTCATGTGCAACGACGAGACGGGCCTCCCCCGTCTTCATTCGCATCAGATCGTCGTCGACATTCGGGTCAGCGTCCCCTCACCGCCACCGGTGCCACCCATGTCGAGACGTCGACCAGTGCTGGAACGTCCGGTGACCACGTGGAACGTCCGGTGACCACGTGGCTCAAATCAGTTCCCAGATGCAGTTGGGGAACTGATTTGGGTACAAGATGGTAACTTAAGTGTTTTGTGCTTAGCAACACACGCGATCACACGCACATGCCGCCTTTGCGCACGCGAGCACAATGCCGACTTTGATGCATTGCCAACACACGCGGGTTCTTGTTTGCAGCCTTAGGTTTTATGGGGGAAACACAACATATAGCTGTGTCATGCTGTGCCAGTGTTTTGGGGGAGGCTTGGACGTGTTTTTTGGCGCCGCAACACGAGCAGCGTCTCTTGCGCACCTGTTGCTCCAGCACAAGAAGTTGCGGTGGCTTATGACGGTTGATGCGTATGAAGAAAAAGTTGAGTTATCAGCTCACAGACTCAAACAGATGGACTCAGATGGACAAACACACTCTCTTAGGTGAGCAACAAGGCCGAGACATGAGTAGTGTCAGGTCATTTAAGCAAAGGTCTTCATTGAGATGAAATCCCCGTTACGTGGGCGATCGGTTCGAGCTTCTCGTGCGGTGGGGGGATTGCGTGAAGCCACAGGTGTTTCAGCTTCCCCAAAACAGAGAGACATGTTTGTTGGGGCGGATCTTGGGATGTGCCTTTTCGTTGGCGCCATGAGCTTTCGCATGGGTGAATGATGGTGAATGCATCATCTCTCCTCAGGAGAGCGGTGGAGCCCTCCCTGAACGTGAGGTCCAAAGCAACCCGAGAGTTGCAAGTGATATTTTCGATATGTAATAGTAAACCACACCTGATTTCACTGGGATTGGTGGACTGTGCTCCACAGCACAAGTATGGTGTCTTTATTGTTTTACTACTCAATGAATGAAGTCTGTGGTCCATGAGCGCGGAAACTTCCTCTGCGCAGATGCACGAGGATTTATATATCATTCCTTGTGCTTTACTTCATGAGAAACGTTCTAGTGCAAGGGCATGCAGCTGAGGACCTAACTGACCCCCTTCCAGCATCCTCAGCCTTTGGTTGGTCCATCTCGCTCTTCCGATCGCAAGGAATCACGGACTTCTTCCCTAGACCTGAGGTCTTCAGGCCTCATGAACAAGTTGAGATGTGACCAAGAAACTGAGGAGTACTGGAGTGTATTTGGGTGTTGGAAGAAGCGGTGCTGGCTTGTCGTTCTGCTTCGCATGGCTCTGCTATAGGTATTCAATGCCTAGATGTGAATGGAACTTCGTCGTTGATTGGCAGCATTGAATGATTCGCTTGACCTTTACAAAGGCGAAGATCAACTTGGTTGAAGCACGTTTTCATGGTCACAGTGCAAGACTTCCCGTTAAACACCGCCGACAAGCACACAAGCCTCGCCATCGACTAGACCTTCATGCTGCCTTGGTAAACCCACCATCCCAACTGGACCGCCCTGCACACAGAAAAAACAAAGACAAGCTTCACTCCGATATGAACACACACGCACACACATCTCATCTAAATCATTCTTAAACGAAATACCCTCAAAGCATCTCAAAGCCCACAGAATACCAACAAAAACCGCTTCCCCGGTCTCGCGGGGCCGCGAAACATGGCCTAATTCGCCGTTACTGGCGCTGGCGCTGTGCCGTCTTGATGCCACTGGTGGCTGCTCTGCCGTCGGTCCGATCGGTCCGCACGTTAGCGGCGAGGGCCGCGAAGCTCGAGGATCGAGTCCATCTGGCTTGGCAGAGGCCTCCGGACGCGCTGCACGCGCGACGCGTGGAGGCGAGATGATCGAGGCTCTCGTCTCTGCCAGAGAGATCCGACCTTGCGAAAGTGGATGAACAAGGGTAGAACATGATGGTAACATGATGGGAACGACAAGATTAATGAAGAAAGACCACACTACTAGGCAGGGCAGGGCCACAGGGCAATGTATGCAGGAGACAACTCACTTCAGATGTTCAGAAGCTCCATTTCGACTCCTGTGATGTGAATATGTTACTCTTTTAATTTCTCTTTTCGTGTCAGGCAATGGCCACGTGTGGTGGAGGTCGAGATGGAACTCCAGCGCCCTCTCGGGGCGATCGAGAATATCCTCAAGATGGCGTCTTGCCCGGAAAAAAAGATCATCCAACAAATTCACATCAGACACACTCAAAGACCAACAACAACTCCTCCTTGGACGACTCATGCTTGCTCCCTTCATGCTTGCTCTCCGTCTCAAGAGAACCGGTCGACCGGTGTGTTTTGTGGTCGCAGGTTGGTTCGTGTCCCAAAAAGTCCGGGTGGGGAATGATTTGAGAAGAAGCACTGCAGGACACCCCAGGTTTTGTCTCCCTTTCAAGACGTTTTTACACGCACAAGAAATCGGCCCGCGCACGGCTTTCCGGACGGGTCGAGGCATCGACGTTCGTGCTTGGACCAAGAAACGCGTCGACCCCGTGAAGTGATACGAAGTGATGACGTTCCAGACGGAGCGTGAAACAAGAGCCCGAGCCCTCAAGAGCTAAGAAGCATGCCCCAGCATCCAGTTTGGATGGTTATATTGGTTGGGTCCGTCCTATTGCCTTTTGCGAATGGAAGTGCAGCGACACGTACAGTGCAACTTGTACATATATATGTACCATATGTACTTTGGCTCAAGGATCAAGCGACTAGAAAAGGTGCGGTTTCCGTTCCGACGCTACGCCGCTTATGGACCGTCAGTGATAGCTTCAAACTTCGCTGATTAAGATCCACTCGCAGGTTATCAGCCGTACGCGCTCTTTATAGCCGTACGAGCTACACGAGACCAAGAACAAGACTAGTCATTACAGAAACCTGCAATGTCAAGCTCAGGAGGAAATGGAAGCGAACCCTATTCATTCGCTGCTCCTGGTGGTCCCAACACCATTTCGTCACCAGACTCTACAATGGGTACTGATTCATCAGCAAATGCTGACGTTATCACTATGCCTACTGGATCACAAATCTCGGAAAGATCCGTGCCACCGGCTCGGAATCTGATCGATCTTGCACCCGTAGGACCAAGAAGATCGATGAGAGCTACAACAAGATCTACATCGCCTATAACGTCTACCGCGAGATCCCCAAGAAGGAGTATAGAGAAGAGACGTGACGATGATAGAGGAACAAAAGAGCAAAGAAGAGAGATTCAGCTGGGTGAAGAATTGAGATCGGCGAGAAACGCATACAATTTTCTTCATGAAGAATATGAATGCATCCAAGCCGGATACTCACGACTACACCACGAGGCTGAAGTGGAGTTCAGGCAAATGTCTGACTACAACAGGAAGATGCAGGAACATCTACAAGAGATGACACAGGAAGATGAAGGAGCGACAATAAGAATTGAAGAGCTCGAACACAAGCTACGCTTGGCGGAATCGACAGCTGAACATATCTACATGAGATATCAAGAGCTTGCACAAGAAACTCATCAAGAACATTCAGAGCTTGAATCTGTGAAAGCAACGAAGGACAGAATGTCCCAAGAGCTTCAAGCAGCAATTGGACACATCCAAGAACAGAATGAATCTTCATTGGCGATCAATAGAAGATCAAAAGCCATTCAGGATGAGAACACAGCCTTCGTCGGAATAGCTGACCAGATACAAGCTAGAATGATTGCGCTACAGGATGAGAATGTCAACATGCACGAGGTGATCCAACACCAGAGAGAAGAACAATGGAACAGTGAGGTCAGGGAAAGACGTCTTCAACACAGTGTTCACTCATCTCAAGATCAGAGCAATCAGGAAGCTATGGTTATTGATCATCTACGAGGTCAACTAGCTATGGCACGTGGAGCTGAACTCAACGCGAGAGCGGAGATAGAAGAGATGGAAGTGGGCATGAGGATGGAGATATTTGTATGCCAGACTGAAGTCTCTGCTAAAGAAATGGCAGAAATGAAGGCGAGCCACCATGAATACGAAGCAAACGTCGCAAAGGAGGTTATCGCAAAAGGAGAAATATTCAACAACGAAGTCCTAGAAGGTTCCATCCGTGAACGACAACAGTTGAAAGACGCCGACCTCGCTCTATCCGAAGCCAACGCACAGCTGAAAAGAGAGAATATGATGAGAGCTCCTATGTTCGGCGATGATGGTGCTGAAATTCAACAGAAGATCAGAGAACTGGAGAATGCACTATTGGAAAGCCAGAAGGAGACAAAGAATGTCATTATGGAAAATGCGAAATTAAAAGCAGAAGCACGAATGGCACCCATAGTCTCTCGGTACAGCAAGCGTCCTAGTTCCAGAGACCGCGGGTTACCAACCCACGCGTCCGAGGAAGATGAGATTCGGAACGCAAAAGAGGAGGCGAAGCACTACAAGGACGGGTACAATGAAATGACAGAGAGCCGAGATGAGATGTATGAATGGTATGCCGAAACCCACAATGAGTACGCCGAGGAAAGGGAGAAATCAATTGAGCTATCCGAGGCGAACAAATCATTGAGGGACAAGATTTCAGAAGCAGAAGCATCCTCTTCATCTCATCTTGCACCGGCAACCTCTACAATCATGAAAGTATCGAGGAAGGAAGAATCAAAGATAAACGTTCCGTCATGGCCCAGGATCAATGATCTTGGACTATGGAAGGCAAATCTCATTCAATCGATCATCATTGCGGCCAATGATTCAGATCAAGAGCCCTGGATCGACTGGATCAAAGAAGCCATGGACGATCCTGATCCGGACAAGTTTGTCGACTCAGGAGACCAAAGATTCCATTCAATCGATGCCAAACTCGGCCTAGCTCTTACCAAGGTCGTCATGGATGCGAAAGATGATGGTTCAGGTGTAGCTATGAAGTTGAGGACGAGGATCAATGCAAAAGGGAGAACATCAAGCCTCATAAAGGGAAGAGAGGTCCTAGCCCTGATCCTTATGAATTTCAAGACAACATCAAATGTGGAAGTCTTATATACTTCAATGCACCTCTACCAACTAGAATATCAAGGAGACAAGAACTTATCGTTGTTCTTCCACACTTGGGATGAGATTCTGGCAGGAATGAAGCCCGTTGACGTCCCGAGCGACGAAACTCTTCGGGATCTCCTATGGAGAAAGATCAGGAACTCAAACCTCATGGCATACGACATCGCGCCTACAACAGCATGAACGACGATGATGCCAAGAAGACATACAAACATCTACGTGATATGATCAGAAGGCACATCGAACGGCAAACTGAAGACAGGATGATCCTGGAAAAGGAGAAGGCAGTGAAGAATGTGGCCAATATCTTTCAGAATCTCAAACCAGGCGGACCTGCTCCAAAACTGAAAGCTGCACCAGCTGATCCGAAGAAGAAACCAAAAGGGCAACAAGAACAGGTTGTCTCAGAAGACGCTGCTGCAGTGAAGCCGAAACCCAATCCCAAGAAGCATCCTGAAGACAAGAACAAAAAGGGAAAGGGGAAAGGTAAAGGTGATGGAAAGGATCGCAGCCGAAGTCCGAGTACAGACAAGAAGAAGATACCATGCAAATACTTCGTGAAAGGTAACTGCACTATGGGGAAAGATTGCCCATTCAGTCACAAGAAACCCAGATCACCATCCAGAGGATCTTCTGTCGGAAAGAATGACAAGCCAGTATGTTGGATGTGGATTCGAGGAACTTGTGACAAAGGGAAGGATTGCAAGTTCTACCATGACCCAAAAGCCTCTCCTAAGAAAGGGATATCTGCACCAGCTGACTCAGGAGACGATAGGCCAAAGCCCAAGGCAAAACCCAAACCGAAGCCTAAGGCGAAGCCTGGAGCCCCAGCCATTGACGGTGAACTCTTCATGGACGAATCCGAAGATGAAGGGATTGCTGCATCCGCCAAGGCAAGAGAAGGAGGTGCAAAAGTATCCTTTGATGAAGAGACTTGTGAGATCATGTTGAACGAAGCGATCTACTCAGTCAGGAACAAATGGAAGGTAGTAGAAAGGAAACCTCTACGTCCAGACATCAAACGATACGATGAGAAAGAGCTCACCTGCTACACGAGGAAAGAACAAATCAGATTTGAAGAAAAGGTCGCAGAGGCAAGAGGCATATTGATGGTCCCCTACACTGAGATCAAGAGGGTCCGAATACCAGTTGGACCAAAGGGTGACCTAGCGGTCACTATGTCTTTTGACGAAGATGACGGCCTAGTTTTCCATCATAAAGTCATTCCTCATGTATGCGAGGGAAAGAAAGATCATGCAGACACAAAGACATTGTCTATTCCAGCCAAAGGGTCAAGAACAAAGTTCATCATGGACACAGGATGTGGGTATGATTTGATATCGAAAGGCAGAGCCAAGAAATTAGGTCTGGAAGTGAGAGAAAGCGACCAATCAATGTCATTCTATACTGCAAATGGAGTGACATCCACAAAGGGAGTCGCCGACATTCATTTCGACGAATTTGACTCTACCTACTCCCCATTCGTCTTAGATGAGTCTCCTTCAGTACTGTCTGTTGGAAAGAAATGCATGGAGGAAGGTTACACATTCATATGGCCAGCCTGCGGCAACCCGTACATGGTTTCCCCGAACTACAAGAAAATCATGTTAGAAGTAGAGGGAAACATCCCATATATATTGTCAAGGGCAGTGACTTCTGTAACCCCACCGACGATGTAAGGGCGGAGATGATCGCAAGGTTCACCCTAGGAGAAGGTGAAGCTGATTACCAATCGGCTTTCATCAACTGTGATGTGGATCCTCAAGGCGTCATGTGTGATGATGACGACCTCCCTGTGATTGAGCCTCCAAAAGTCAAAAGACGAAAGAGGAATAAGAAGTTCAAGGCATCTCCTGGAGAAGAAGATGAGGTAGGATCAGATGTCGCCGGAGACAGTGAACCAGAAGCTGACGATGATGATGCAGATGACATCGAGGTGGATATTGTTGACGGTGCAAGCAGAATGGTGAGAAGAGGAACTCTGAAAGCAGATGCCAGGAAAATCGAACATCTACTCACACACCGTTACAAGAATCCCTACTGTGAGTCATGCATCAGAGCAAAGATGAAACACTTCAAGACGCATCGAGGAGCGTTCAAGAGAAAGCTCAAAGCTTTTGGGGATCTGGTTACCTTTGATTTTGTCGATACGAGGAAC